ACACACACACACACACACACACACACGCCACACACACTCTCTCTCTCTCTCTGTTGGAAAACAGTAGAAACAGCAGCTAACTTTCCCCACATCTGTTTGACAGAGAATATCAGCTCTGTCTATAGTATGCTTTGAGTAGTAGTCAGCAAAACAACTGCCCATGGCTTATAGTCTGAAGAACAGCATTAGGATTTCCCCTTCTCTGGAAGCTCATCATCTCTCCTGTGGGATGCACATCTCTCCAAGTACTCCCTGAGTTCAAGGCAGCAGCAACATTCAGTCACCCAGGCAGGAGGTCTTCAAATCAACCTTGACCTTCTCCACACACTGCAGCTGCATGCTAGCCCAGGCCCATCTTAAAATGCTCAAATCAGTCCCAAATATTTGCCTTCACTATTCAACCACTGAAAACATGTTAAAAAATTATGATTCTTGAATCTAGTATAACAGAAGAATCAATACCTTTCAGCAGTGGAGCTGGAGAAGAGTACTGAATATCCTATAGTCTGCTTAAAGAACAAACAAATCTGTCTTGGACAAAGTGCAACCTGGGGTTCCTTAAATGTAAGGATGGTGAAACTTTGTCTAACACACATTAGGAATGTTGTTAGAGACGGGCCAGATCTTGGGAAGGGGCATCATGCTTGGAAAGGTGGAGGGTCAGTATTGAGAAGGAACCCCTCAAAGATGGATTGACCTCAATGACTGTAACACTGGACTAAAGTACATAAGAGATGATGAGGGTCACACAAGATAGGGCCACGTTCAAATCTGTTGTCCAGAGGGTGGCTTGCATCATAGCTGACATGACCGTATCGAACAGCTACAACAATAGAAAGAAAAGCCTGCTTCCAAATACCAGCCTTTGAAAACTCTATGGATAACCACAGTTACCACGTTCACAGGGTCCCTAGAGGCATACCTGACTCCACACAGTTCACGTCACTACACAGAACAAACAGTTCCACGAACGCTTATTAGCTCAGTGAATGACTCGATGGATGAAATGTTGTTAAAAGATGTTCATAAAGAGACACGATGTTGTGATTCTTTCATCGAGCATGGGAGTTAGAGAACAAACTGTAGGAATGGAAATGTTCAGTGCACCAAAACTTTATCACTTAACCCTCATTAACAATATGGCTTAGTAATTATGCGTGTGATCCTGAAATTATAATTACCGCTGATCGTCTACTTTCCACTTGAGCATTACTGGGTACATAAGCTTCTTACAATCGCTCACTAAGACATCCCACGAAGCTACTAAGCTCACTGATGTATGGTGTTTTGGTTGGAAGATATTACTGCCTTGGACTGCCTTCCTTCACTCACAATCTGATCCACCACAGATGGGTAACATGGCATGTATTTAATTAGAGTCATGGAACTGCATCTTTCAATCCAAAGGCCTTGCTACCTCATGTCCATTTCTGCCCTTGGCACATCATCTCAGCCTTCTGCATGACTTATCTGATGCTTCCACTGAGGAGCTTGAAAACCAGTCATGGAAACATGAGCTGCGTGCCACATGTTAATACGCTTAGGCACAGAGTGTGGTCCCAGAGAGGAAGATCTGTAAGTAATGCGACAATTATAATCAAAGCTGTTAGGTCACTACACTTTACTCAAAATGACCCCTTTCCACGGCGTTTATGCAGTAGGGATTGCCGTTTTCTTAATTTTGTAGGTTAGAAAACAGAAAGAAAGAAGGAATA